TAAAATTTCAGCTATTTTCTATAGGATCATCACTAAACACATCGAGAAAACCGTACAAGTACGAGAGTTGTAATTTATTTCAAAGACAAAAAAATGCATTGCTATAAATTATTTTATAATACTATTAATGATGTATGGTCGTTCGGTAACAATTAAGGATTGCATATTGCTTAAACCGGGGCTAGAGGTTTAACTCTAAAATAGACTGTAAGACATTTGCTTCTGTTTTCATATCACATATGTCCAGAAGAAAAACTATTTCAAAGATATTTTTAAACCGTGCATAATCTTAAAATATCATTACAAGCTAAATGTTAAGCTAAAATGAATGTGGTTCATCGATATTGATTTTTCTTTTGTGCTTTCTACCTTGAATGCAAGTGAGTGTGTGATTTTTTAACTATTTGTTTTTGTTTCCATTGTCCTTGGGATCCTCCTTTCCAGAATTCATAGAACGTTGTATGTGATTTTTGTAATTGTTCCTCATTTTAAAAGGCCGCTAGTGAAGAATCCTTTACTCTTTCACTAACTGATTTCCTTTTTCATATGTAAGTTCAGATGATGATAATATCGCCAAAACATAAGCTAGCACTAACCCATGAACATTTAAACTGATCCAGTTATAAGCGTCAGTATTTGAACCATCATATATCTTTAGTGTGTTTATGGTTCTTTTGCTTAGTTCTTACGCTTGAAAAATGCATAAGTTTTAAATATTTTTTTGATATTTTAATTTCCTAAAGTGGTTTTGAGATTAAATTTTAAGTGAAAGGAAAGAATCTCTGTTATTCAAGAGATAAAAAAACTGTACATGAAACTTCAGAAGCGTGTGGTCCCCTCTCAAAGAATGAGATTTTGAAATCAAATCTGGGGTTGAAAATGGTGTTATTTCCTTGACTTTCTAACGCTTTTAATGGTAGCTGTTTATTCACATCCATGAATCTTTTTTAGATATGAATCTTTATAATACTTTTATAGATATATTAGATATTAAAGAGAACATAACAATTTAAAATAAATGCAACAATCATTAAATCAAATGACCAATTATTTTATCTTACTATCTGTAGTGAAGATGTTCTGTACTATATATTTGTTTTGAATATTCACATATAAAAATAAAAGGTCAATATAACAATTAAATGGAAACAAAAAAATCATGATTTGAAGAAGAAGTTTTGAAACTCTTTTCAATTTTTAAAAATATCTATACCCTTCATTTAAACTTCAGTAGTAAAGGGAAAAAATAAGTTCACGTCTTGTAACCCTTTCCACTGCTTTATTCTATTAGTGCGTAGGTCAGTCACTGTTTACGATGTAATGGAATGTACTTTAATAAAAGAATGACCTTAATTGAGCTAAGCAAAAGGAGAAAGGAAACAATATATATGTCATTATTCTAGAGCTTTCTAACAAGCTTTTTCTATTTATACCTCCTGTGACCTAGTTTTTGACCTGAGATAGCCCATCTTCGAACTCGATCTGTATTTTATTGAGACAAACATTCTGACAAGGTTTGATGATGATCCAATCAAATCTATGACTGCTAGACTGTTAACAACCAGATTGTTGACGACGCACGACGACGGACATCGGACATAGCCCCATCACTATATCCCCCCCTCCTTGACCACTTAGTGGTCAGGTGAGCTAAAAAGGGTAACAAAGGAGAATTTTTATATTTGAATAGATGTTATAGATCAAAATGTATTTTGAATTTAATCTATTCTTATAAAATGTGACGACGTCTGTTGTCTTTAGGTGAACCTGCAAGATGCCCAATGAACAACTAAATTTGCCATACCAATTTTAACAAGCTTTTTAGAATGCCTGACCCACGTCTTCTTGTGTGTTAGGAGATCTCACATAACAAAGTCTATAATCAAAATTGTTGAACATTTTATCCTTTGTTTAGAGGTATATCGTGATATACATGTTCTTAATTAATAAATAATTGTCTGCAAAATTCAAAATTATTTATCTGGTAAATTTATCACATCAAATCAATCAATATATATCCCCCAAACCGTAAATGAGTTCCCAGTACATTTACATGTTTTTATTTTTATGTTTATACTAATGATAGCCAGTCACCGGTTCATTAATTAATATCCCATGAAGAATAAACTTTAAGGAGAATAAAATTCATCAATATTTATATTTTTTGAGTGAGACTAAAAAAAGGATTGGAGCACCACACTAAATACCGTATTTCGGTATAAACCGGACAAAGCACTTGAATGATAAAATGCTAAAATCTTGCCTTTTTACCCAACGGAATGAACTTTTATAGGTCTAATTCATCTTTTCACACCGACTTATATATGATAATGAATAAAAAACGTAAAAATCGGCGAAAAAACGATATTTGTCTATTTTGTGCAAGCATCTAGAGGTACTGCTCCAATCCTGTATTGAGTTAAATCCATATTTTTTACATTTCTCATTCAACAGATGGCCAATAATGCTAATGACTTCCTATTCTACGCCATATTTTCCAAGTGGTCATTATAACATTTACTTCGTAATTTCAAGTTGTTTGTTCCTGATTTATAAGGATTCACGTAATATGGTTACCGTAAAAAGCGGCAATTCTTAAAAGAAGAGGATATAAGGAACCAAAATGAAAGAACGTTATTACTAATCGAGCCTTGCCGAAAAAAGAATCTATTGTGAAGATATAAACAACACGTCTGCTAATTTAGTCAAATGTTATAAAGAAAATTAAAAAAAAATATTCAAAATACTTGTTATTTTATATGTACCAATTATATGGATTGCCAACTACACTTTAACTCAAATGATAAGCCTCAAATGTTTTTAAGATATGAAAACAATACCATTTCTTAGTTGGTAAAGACGAAGAAATACGACAATAAATACAATAAATTTACACAACGTAAAAGCTGCATGCCTCCAGATGAGCCAAAATATTTCCAGAAAATATACCTGAATTAACATGTTTATAATATGTACAAATAACAACTGATTTTGCAGTATTTATAACCATATTTATACTGCTTACTAACGCAGTACTGATTTATTTTTGCATATTTTACGTCTTTTTTAAATTTTTCGTAGAGTTAAGGTCCCGTTTGCAATGTGTAAATTACTTTCGTTGTCCATATGACAATATTTTACTGTTACATTGTGATACATTTAAAAAGTTTTCATGACAATTAACAATGAATCTTGAGGCATGCTGCTTTAAATGGATTGTGAATAATATCTTTTGCTCTTAATTTTACTTTTTTTCTGACGTTTTCTTTTAACATTCGTTGTTTTCATCTGGAAGCAGACAGAATCTTATATATCAAATCGATTTTTTAAAACTGGAATTTCACTCATAAGCATATATACCAATTTCTATATAAATCAGCAGCTGAAAGAGATGTGTGTTTTCATGAATAGAACGCTGATTTATTGAGCAATTTGTAGCTATTGTTGCTGTTCTAATTTCCGCCAAGAACGTGGATTGAATTCAAGATTGTTCAATCTACCTTATTTATAACGCTGTCAGTTATATATATATAAAACGAATATGTACGAAACCATTGTATGATTATATCACAATCACGAATATGTACGGTAACTATTGTATGATTATATCAAAATCACGAATATGTACCCTTAACATTCAACAGTTAAAGAAATCTCGAGTAAGATGGTGAACAATTATATCTTTAATTGTGTCAAATATAATAATAATTTTGTACCTTTGTTTGTCAAAAATTATTACTATGGAAACAATGGTTGTAAAATAAAATTGCGTTGCGAATAAGTATTAAAGGAACTGCACTTAGCAAAGAAATAAACTCATAAATTAATTGAAAATCGTTTTTGTGTGCTATTTTAAACTTTTAAAGTAACGAACAATGAACTCTATCAATTTATAAATGTGCATTAGTTTAAAATCCAAGTGCACTCAATTGCTAAAATATATAACATTGTATATCTTTGGTGTTGAAATGAAACTTTGTTCAAATTGCAAGAATGACTTTTGTAAAAGATTTAGACAGACAAAAATAACTACAGATGTTTATGTCTGCATTGGTTCATTAGAGTTTATAAATACATCGTTATTACAGATACACAAATAGGTAAGATTTGCTAACAAAGTTCTGATGTTGTCAAAATATCTGTTTCCTTTGTGAAAATAGATAAAAGATAATTTCTCAGTTAATGTTTATTCAATATGAATAAAAAGATTAACAAAATAGAGCAAGCTAATGATAAGATAGTTGAAAACAATATCATGTGAGCACTGAAGGTTTGTTTAGAGCTAGCTAGTTCGTCAGAAAAACAAATTAAGAATGTATTAGCTCTCATACAATAAGCACCAGTTTATATACAGTTTCCGGTCATTAAACGTATAGGATTGGCAAAATACGGATTTAGAACATTCGCAATGTGGTGCAGTGCTTTTTAATAGAAGTAGTATTCGTATTATCAGTACAAACATACTTTAAGTTACAAGAAGTGATTCACTTATTGTTAACACCAACTACGTATGCTGAATGTACTTTATGGCTACTTATTAACTGTTGTTGTATTTGACTCATTTTTATGTACACATTGTTCTCATGACTGCCCTCCTTTGATGTTGAACATTTTTACTCTTTCTGGTTGTTGCATGGGCACATTATGCCTCAAAAATCGATTTTTTAAAAATTCTTAAGAAATGTGTAACATGTGTTTAGAACTGTTTTGATAATGGAAAGTGAGCACGTTAGATGTTTCACAACTGAAGAACATGCAGTTATGTGTTGTAAAGGTAGCAAAATGTAAGCAAAGATATATTTTACCTCCATATAAATACTCATTCTCTATGATTATACATATTGCAAACATAACAAAGTCGTAAAAGAATTTATGTATATCGCAAATGAGTATTTTTTTAAAAATTGTAACAAGATACAAAAAGAAAAAATTTTGGGAAATGAAAATGATAGCATTTCTGAGGCATAATGGACCTTAAGAGTATAAATTATATCTTTTAAACACCATTGATTTCACGGAGAACTTCATCATTCTTTTGTCAGAATGATCTTCATATCATCGTCAATTAAACGTTGAATGTGACTTTGTTGTTGCTATCTATTCAAAGGAATGTTTCTTCACTGTGTGTACTATCTGCAGATTCTACATCTGAACGTCGGGTGAATTTAATCCGAAGGCCCGATCTGAGCTGGCTGTCGATGAACCAAAAAAGTGGGACAACTCCAACAGTTGACGCTCCAATCCATGTTATAACCTGATTTAATCCGGTAGAAGGAATACATGATGCGCTTTGACAAAATGATAACAGAAAACTAATACACTGAAAAGGAAACCACATGGCCGCAAAGACTGTATTAACTATGCACAGAGACACAATGTCATCTTTTTTCTCTTTAATAGGCATTGAACTCGTGCTTGGCAACGGCCTTGACATTGGGGAGCATTCACTTTCAAAGTCAATATCATTTTGCTGGCTGTGATAGTTTTTCAACGACATGCGCGTGCTTTCTATAGTTCCAGGAGTAGGGGTGGATAACTGGATCTTCAACAATAGTAATCTGAATGTTAGTGCTATGATACAAAATAATGGAATGAAATATGTTACTAATGGACATAATATTGCCGATTCCTTGCTGATGATGACAAAACATTCTCCGGGTCTATTTTCATACGGAATTGTTCCAGATGTCCATATCGGAACGACAACAACAAGGGCTATAACCCATGCCATACAAACAGTTATTGTTTTGAACGTCTTCTGAAATATCCAGGAATGAAGATTCGGGTGAATCATTGACATAATCCTTTCTACATTTATAATGATGATAATTGTGAATGAAGTAAATGGTAGCAAAACATCACTTATCACATATATTTTACACAAAGTTTGCCCTAAATCCCATTCTTTCTGAATATGATAAATTGTAAGCGGAAGTACAAATACACTTATGAATAAATTTGAAACCGATAAGTTTACTATATGACAATAATAGCCACACATTCGAGGTTCTTTGTTCCGAAAACATGCTATTATTACAAGTACATTTATGATGAAAGACCATACTGACAGAAACACGGCAAATGCAGACGTATGCTGATGGATACTATTTAGAAATTCCTCGTGAATTTCTGCTCGGAAATAGTTATAATCGTCGTACATCGAATCTGTTTCATAATCTCTGTTGATGTCGGAGTTGGAATACTTAACATTTCCGATTTGTCCACCATCGACTGTTCCATTTTCATGGTGCGGTTTCCAGTCACTAGTAACCGTAGTATTGAGCAATCGTAAGTCAGTCATCTGAAATTATTAACAAAATTTTTATTCTAGATAGAAATAGCCTTAAATAGAATGTTTTGTCTAAAATCAGATTTAAACCAGATTTGAACACAACAAAGTATATGTTAATCTTAAACTGACTAGAAAAACTGGATATCTTTAGAAATTGACTGTAATAGTAAATTTATTTAGATTTCATATGGCACATATAAAGCTTTAGCAGTATTCATAAAGTACTGATTTTCAGAAAATCATGAATATAAGTTCCTACGTAAAGCACAATTTATCTTTTAATGATATTTCACGAAATTGTGTCGTATAAATCCAATTAAAAAGTCGTTTGGTTTCGCTTTATATAGAATGTGATATTCATAAATCTGCTAAAATTATCCGGAATTTTCTGATAAAAAATATAAGAAAACAAAAAGCAAGGTTTCACCTTTCTACCTGCTGATAATGTTTAATATAATTTTCATGTTTCTTATTTGGACGAACTTACTTTTTATATATGTAATCAATTTACAAAACACGAGAGTCTTATTCTCAGGAGAACATTAATAAACAAGACGATTGGAAAATAAATATTTCTGAAGGTCAGCGGTTTTAATTTTCCAATACTACTTCAAGGGTTGTCCTTGAAAGTTCTGGAATTATGGTCAGGCATTTTAATTGGCTTAAAATTTCTTGTGTTAAAAACCTTTTTTTATCACATTAAGTATTTGTTAAATATTATCATTATTCAAAATCTATTAGATACTAACTTTCTGTTATCATAATATTGTACGTGAATGATACTAATAATTGCTAAAGCGAAGTTCTGCAAACGTTCAGGACAACCCTCGTATTTCTATTTAGATAACAAATAATTGGGCCATAAACATTTATGTAACCTACGAAAACTCGGTCAGTGGTGGTATTTTATTCTTTTATAAACTTTAAGGTGATACGAGTTGAAAGACTTGGTGTTTCTTAACGTCTCCTCTCGAAAATTCAATATATTTATCTTTCAAAAGCAAATTGTCTCCCCTTTTTTTCAATTTTGAATATTTTTCGACTTATTTGTTTTGATACCCTTTTTGTTTAAAGATAGTCATTTTCTTTTGACAACGATTCCACAATTGATCCTTATACCATATTCCCCGTTTTCTTTTTTTTTGCACTGTTCTAAAGGACTAAAATTTAAAATTTTTTTGTTTTAAATTACTAGATTTAGAATGAAAACTTTAAAAGTAATTTGTTGCATTTTTCCTTATATTTTCTTGGTATATTAAGATAAAATGCCTCGAACTGCCCTTGGATTAAGACCAGTTGTTTTGCTGTCTTTTTTTGCTTGTACTTTTATAATTACTGTTCTGTTCAAATGTTTTAAATTTCTCGATCTTTTACAAGCATTGATTTGAAACAGATATTTGTCATTTTCTTTCGGTCTTTCCGAACAGAACGTTGTCGTTATCTGTTAGTGTTTCCAAACAAAAAAACAAAAAAACACGCCAACTTTTTATTTGAAACAGACACGTTTAGATTTCAATTCTACTCAGATATGTTCTGAAACTGATCATTACTGATTTGTTAGTGATGAATTGTACTAAAATGAACTATTTCACAATTTATATTTTATCTTACACATATAAAGGAACAAGAATTGTGGTCGGATAACTTCATCTAATTTTATCATGTTTTGTTATCATTTTTTTGCCATGCTTTATATAAAAGATAACAAATCTAAGTTGTTATTGTTTGTTTTACTTTATGCACGAACTATTTTCACTGACAGCATGATTACCTACAAATACACGTGAAATATATAGTTCGTCATTTTGATATGTCTTCCTTGTCAATAATTATCTTATAGATATCTTCTCACTGCGAGAACAAATAAAGTTTCAGTATAAATTGTCTTATTACATTATAAGCAGAAACAATTTTTAAGTACATTTTAAATTGAATTCATGAAAAAATAAATTGATTATAAGTTTCCTACTGATGCGAATTTATTTATTAAATAAACAATACTTTTATAAACAAAATGAAATGAAAAGAAAAAAACTTATTGATAAACGCCAAAATTATATATAAATGTTCATTTCTGCTTTAGCCGGTGCCGGTAGATAACACCTGTTTACCTTACGTTATCTAAGAAAGCTTTCTTTATTTCCATCTTGTTTTGATATTTCAATGCAATTTAATTAAATTAGAAAATACTTCCTTCAATTCATTTTTCATTGACTTTGTTTTAGTGTATTTTTATACTATAAAGTAATATTTAAACAATCATTAAAAACAATTAAAACACACTCGTTACCAAGAAAAACAGTTTGTATTAAAGCACTATACTGTTGTTTTATATATTCTTAAAGTCAAACAAAAGTCAAACGAACGTTGAATTAAAAATTGTTTGATATTATCTTATATATATTTAAAAAAGTAAATAAATCTGTACATATCATATGATATTTGGATTGATATACACCAATTAAATGTACACAATTATATTCACAAATTTAATGTACATAATTATATGCACACAATTATATACACCAATTAATGAACGCAATTATATACACCAATTAAATGAACGCAAAAATATACATTACAGAAGTCTGAATTAATTAATAGGTTTAGGTAAATATTTGTATTATGCTACAAAACATCGAATTGAACTACTAAATGCTCTGTAAATCAATGTATAAATTTGTCTCATTGTATTTAAAAGTGATATTGTTTATTTCTTCAAATTACTTGATAATGTGTCTAGTATGAAACATTGTTAAATGGAATCTTATCAATGCATATGATTAAGTTTAAAATCCATTTTTTTATATCTAAGAATGTAAACGCTTTATAATAGATAAGCTCACTTTAGTACTAAATGGTGTTAACGTTCATTCTCCAAAAATATGTAAATTGAAAATTTGTGCTACAACTTTGTTCATGTACCATGATATTGTGTTTGATTGTACTATATAAATGTGTGTAATATGACTATGTACTGAATGTATACGTCAATAAATTATCTATCTATCTATCATTAATTGAATGTACACAATTATACTCGTACATATACATATAACAGTACTTATCGTGTTTTTACAAGACACTACAGTTTATAGTCTTTTATATGGGATACATTAAATATCACTAAAGAAATAGAACACAACACTGAGGGCCTCATAGCATTACGGTGTCCGATCAGTCTGACCGCAAACAGTACAGACGGAGCCGAAATCTCAAGCGGTCGCTATACATTTTTTGTCGGACCGCTGCTTTCATCGTGAATATTATATTTCAAATTCATGGAAGAAGACAGATAAGTTTCACTTAAAGTGTATAAGTAATTAAAAAAAAATGCTTTCTAACTTCTAATGTACCCGATTCAGTTTTCCTGAAATATAAATAAAATAAATAAAAATAAAAAGATAAATAAAAGATAAGAAAAAAAATAATATCAATAAAATGTTCAAATCTGATTTACGTGTTGTTTATTTTCTTCAAATACTCATACTCTTCATAAGTAAACATCACCATGTGATAGAAATGTTCACACCTATTTTCATAATGTCATTTATTTTCTTGGTTATTGTTTCACATTGAGAGTTAATCATACAAAACAGTCATGCACTGTTAATATCTGCGCACATGCAGCTAAACGACGCTTGTATCAACTGCCTTTTCTAAGTTAATATTTGTACTATAGTGTTGACTACAACAATATTGCGTAGTGAAGCGAGATTTTTAAACATTTGTATTAAGGTCAGCTGATAAGATTGAGAGGAAAAAAAATAAAAGTGTTCTTTTTGTCAATATAACAGAATGGTTTATTTGATATAATGCTGGCAATAATAATAATAATAATAATAACAATAATTATATTGATGATGATAATAATAACACAGATATATATTTACCTCCATGATAATCATCTTATAGGCAGTCTTTTTATATGCGAACAAAGTAAAAGGCCTACAACGACCGTTTCAAAATGTATACATTTGTGATCCGATCATTTTTCAGTGTTGAAAGTACAATTTCAAGTTGTGCCTTAAATCCATATGAAAACTTATGTTTTATCAGTCTTGTTTTTTAAACATGAAATAACGATGCAGGCAATCTTTCCAGTTTATACAAGAAACGTATTTCTGGTTACAAAAATACCACAATCTCGTCTGCTCCTTATACAACTATTAATCAAGAAACTTATTCTTGCTGCATCATTTGCCCAGAGTGATATTATTGTTTGGAGACAACGGAAGACATGCGACAAAGATATTTCTTGTTGAATGTTCTTGTTTAATGAAATAGTTTATACGGCTAATGCCGCCTGCTATGAAGTTTCCTTATAGACTGATATAATATTGCAATCACTTCTGGTTTAAAATCACTTTAAATTATTCTCAATATAGATTTTAGAAGTTTCTTCAGTACAAATTCAAACAGGAAAATAATTATACTACTTTCATATAACAGGTAAACAACAATGCTAAATCTGTTAAAATTCGTCAGTATTTACATTTTCAGGCTATTCCTGTTCGTAATATACTTTGAGGTCATTATATATTGTTTAAGGTAGCTCGCTACTTTCCGACCGAAATATGACAACATCTCAGATCTTGATGAATTTTGGTATGCAAACATATAAATATGTGAACTTTACTTCTGCAGTATTATTTTATAAATAAACAGCGTTACTATGACGTCAAAGCGCCCTCTATCGGTGGCGGTGAAATTGCGTCTTTTTTATCAATAAACCGGTCTGTTCTTATCAATTTTCATCCGATTTCCTTCATTTTAATATCATAATGTTCAGTAAATGTATGTCTTTGTAATGATGTCTTTCTTTAACATTTACTTAATAGTCTGCGATTTTACGTCATTTTTCTCTACTTTCTGACGTCCATATTTGATGCAAATATCGCGCGATATCGCATTAAAGATTGTGTAATAAAAAAAATTCAACACGGTGAATTTTGCTATAATTTTCCGAGCGTGTAGTGAGATAGTGACGGAAAATATTTATGCAATAA